ACATTTTAGCTCCTTTTGTTTTAATATTTATTGTTTTAAGTAAATGAAATGAAATAAGAGAGCCAAGCTTTAAGTCAGTTCCTCCTGGGAACCCTGACTAAGCCTATCACCCTTACCTATTTTATTATCCTTTGGAGGGGTGGAGAGGGAAGGAGAGAGAAAGAATGAGAAGAAAGAGCTAGCACTGATCATGCAATTTCTTTGAGTCCCAGAATTCTTACTTAGACGAAATGATATTTTGCATTAGGTGTTTGTTATAGTTCTTTGCACTTCTAGAATGGTTTTGATATTGGGAAAGGAGGGAAAGGGGAGATGGTGGGTGGTGAGGGAATAGCTTGGGCAGCTCCTTTGTTTTTGAGCTAAATGGGAACCAAAGTAGTTAATCTATTAGGACAGTATAGAGAGCTAAAGCCTACTCTTCCACTTGGCCATGTAGGAGCAATTAACACAGTCAGGGCTGATGGTGTGGTCAAAAGCTTCCTGCAGGAGACCTACTCCAACCTAACTCCCTAAGTAGCTTTGACAGTGTCTGGCACAGTGTCCAATAGCGATTGTCAATAAATGTTGGCTGATGAATTAATAAATCCTGATGGCTGCTGGAGGTGGAATTGCAACATTTGGCTCCTAAACATTGTTGAAGTTTATAAGTCTGACTTTGGAAAGACAGATGTTTCTCTTCCATTTTAGTTTGCTGAGAAACTGAAGAAGTAAGTGAACATGGATGGTGCCTTTTATATCATTTTCTCTCCATTTTCTTTTGTTGTTTTTATTTTATTTTTTTATCCACTCATGATGGAATCTCAGTATATCAGGCCTCATAATGGAAATTTAAATATTGAACCAGAAACAGAGACTATTTATTCTTTGAGACATTTGTCTTTACCCTGGAAAAAATCATGTGAACCATCAATCCCTACCTCTCCACATGTACCGTCAACCACACACACATGAAAGTTTTGGTTGTGTGGGTGTTGTGTGGTTAAGTCAATGAGAACTGGGCTTGAATCTTGGCTTTAATACTTATCAACTTAGTGAAATTTAATATTTCTCTGAGCTTCCGCTTTGCTTTCTCTGTAAAATGGGGGTAATGATGTTTTCCTCATAAGGCTGAAATGAAGATTAAATGAAATCACATATGTCCACAATTTGACACAGTGTAAGTCACAGTAACAGGAAGCTACACCATTGCATTTTTTAAAAAACTGGTAGAAAATTTAAAGTTCTAAGATTTCTTTGTACATTAAGAAAAATAATATCCTCTTATTCAAATACATGAAGAGTACGAACAAATGAATGAGAGACACTAAGATAAACATAATCTTTGCTTTCTAGTTCTCCATCAGGCATGATAGAAGGTACACCACAGCTTCATGCAAATGCGTGGAGAGTTTCCACAACTTGTTTTGCACCTGTTCATGTCCCAATGGTGGACCCCTGTAACATTAATCAACAAAACAGTAAGTCTTTCTTTCTGCATGTAAATTTAGGAAAAAGTTCTATGTATTTCTGTAGTTTTTTAAAATTAGATAATGATTTTAAATTCAGATTTTTTTCATTATGATAAAATCAATGCTATTTTTATATATTTTTGTTTAACATTATGCATTTATATATGCCTTTTTTATATAGCCTAAGTTATTTTAAAAAACTGAAAATTACTATTCTATTTTCTACTTTGCATTTATAAATTTACTTATTTTAGGTGTCTAGAAATCCCTTCTTCCCAAATATAGGCTAGCATTTTGGAGATTTTAGAGTCTTTAAATGCTAAAGAAAAGCCTCTGGAAATACTTTAAAAAACCTGTTATAGTCCTGAGATGTTCAATATCAGTTCTATATAGTGTGACAGCTCAAGTGGCTTCTCGTGTTTACTACCATCTCTGTACGGATTCCTATTCACTGCACATATTATGGCTTTATAAGCAGAAAGCCAGTGACCCAAAGAGGCTTTGTGCCATCAAGTGGGCAACAATTTGAGATGGTCATGCTTCAGATTTCTGATTTGCAATGATAGTGCAACTCGCATGCCAAGAATTTTTGACTGCATTTTTTTTTTTGCTAAAGCTAAAGCAACTATGCATAAAAGATACATATATATATTTATAAAATCACTGTATGAAAAATATTAATATGCATGCTTAAATATTCTTATAATTTTAATTTTTCCTTTAATTATTTTGACTAGTTTACTATTTTTATGTAGTTTTAAAAAATGCATTCCTAATATTTGTTGAGCATTCATGAGAAGCCAGTACAATTTCCGGATTTTGTGGTGGTTATGTGGAAGTACTCTGTTGATAATCATATGGTTTTTATTATTAATGTATAGTTTTGGTATACTGGAAAGAACACAAAATAATCTTGCTCTTGTTCTTTTTTAAATCTAAGCCAGCTTTTAAACTTGAAGAAGATTGTTAACCTCTTTGGTCATTTTTCCTATCTACAATAAGAGGGCTAGACTAGAGTTTTTTGGTTTCAATGATTTACTACTTTTAATCTCACTCCCATTTTACAAAACCTTCTTCCATTCTGTCCCCAACTTTCCGCTAATCTACTCCTCCTTCAACTAGTCTGTTTGGTTTGTTTCTAATGTTGTTGGCTTCCTCCTGGATATTGTAGTGACTTTATTATTTTTTTTAAATAACATATGAAAGTTGAAGTAGAGTTCAATTTATAAATTCAGTTTCCCTCTGGTCTGTTCTTTAGTTATCTCCTTTAATACATGTCATTTTGCTCTATTTTCCACCATTTGTATCCCCATACCCCATGTCTTCTATGATATATATTTTAGATATTATCCTTTTTTAACCTTGCCATGAACTGTGCTTTTTTTTAAAAAAAAAAATTCAAATGGGCAAATTCAGAAAGCTCCCCATGGAAAGGAAAATAAATAGACAAAAGTCTATAACTCTGATCTGGATTCTAAAGGATATTTTTTTTTCATGAGGATTTTCTTTAGTTATCCTTTGCTTAATGTCACTGGGGATATATTTGGTCTACAAATCTTAGAGCCCACAGTAAAGGCCTCTTTGGTGTATTACTGTGCTCTTTCAGGATCCTTGGGATTAAGAGTATATAGGTCAACAGTTCACTGCTATAGTTTCAGACATCAGTTTTCAAATACACATGCATACTTAATGCAAAAATGTAATACTTAGGCAATTATCATAAGTTTCGTTACCAATAACAAATATATTTAAAATACTCAACAATATAAGTTCAGTGTAATTCCTTAGTAGTGACAACATTCTGATTTCCAACAGCTTATCTGGTCTTTCAAAGACAATGACAATGAAAAGATTGATTAATTTTGTCTGTGATGAAACCCATGCTACCTGGGTCCACTACATTAAGAAACCACAGACCTAGCCTTTTTTTAGAAAGATGGAATCTGGTTCGTTTTGTAAGAAATCAACAAATTTTAAGAAGTGACTATACAGATTCCATGCCCCCCCTTCAGTAATTTGATAGTTGCATTTTATGGCCTTTGGCATGTGTTCCAGTCCCTAATTTCTATTCATTACTGATTTGTCCATGCTCCTAATATTGAGCTTCTAATATCTGCCAGACGTTGCGCCCAGTGCACTGCGCATTGTGCAGACATTGAGTTCAACGACTACGTTGCATCTGCCACATTCACCTCAGGGAATCCATTGAAAAGAGATGATTCCCAGTCCTTACTGGATAATTGTGTATTTCACGGAGTTGTCATAACATCCACAATCGGGAACCATTTTTGCGATATGTGGATGTCTGGAAATAAGCTTCCCAATATTCCCCAATTCTTCATAGCAGGTTTCCTAAGATGATCCTCAGGCAATGGGGTGATTGAGGCTGCTGCTTCTATCAACCCTTCTGTTACTCATGTTATTCAGGTACAATACACATAAATTTTTTTTTTTTTTTTTTTTTTTGCTAAAACACTGTTGAATATGGGTTAAGGGCTATTTCCAATATTACCAGAAACATAAATAAACAAAAACTGTATGAACTGAAATTACTGGTTCTCTTATTTAAAGTAATATGCACTACATTACATTTCTAGGAAAGCAAGATGCTGGATAATTCTGGAGCTTGACACTTAGGGGTAAAATCTGGACTAGTAAATGAGATGCTAATGGGCCCTTTTTTCTGTTAGTCGGGTATGCAGCACACTGTGATTTCATCCACCAGGAGCTCTTTGCTCCTTGCCACGTCTACATTAGCCCTGGGCTGTACTATCAGCTGTGCCGCCACGACGCATGCAAATGCGGAAGCGCCTGCCTATGCAACGCTCTTGCCCACTATGCCTATCTCTGTGGCCAGCGTGGTGTTCCCATCCATTTTAGGGATCAGATTTCATTCTGTGGTGAGTACCATGGCACAGATAAAGACTATCAGACAACACTTTTGAGATCTTTGTGTTTGTAATTACTGCATTTATTTATTTATTTATTTATTTTTTGAGACAGAGTCTTGCTTTGTTGCCTTGGCTAGAGTGCCGTGGCGTCAGCCTAGCTCACAGCAACCTCAAACTCCTGGGCTCAAGTGCTGGGACTACAGGCTTGCGCCACCATGCCCAGCTAATTTCTTCTATATATTTTTAGTTGTCTAGCTAATTTCTTTCTATTTTTAGTAGAGACGGGGTCTCGCTCTTGCTCAGGCTGGTCTCGAACTCCTGACCTTGAGCGATCCACCCGCCTCGGCCTCCCAGAGTGCTAGGAATACAGGCGTGAGCCGCCGCGCCTGGCCTGCATTTATTTTTTAAATGAAAGGTCAATGTTGCATGTAAGTTATTTGAAATATTCTTATAATGTACAAACATGAAAAACAAATGAAATACTTAGTTTCTTAAGATTGAAGGTATATTGGATAAGACCAAAAACTTTTGACTATTTTTGTTATGAGCAACAGTAGTGTAACTATATGTTTTGAAATATGCAACAGAAATAATTTGAAAAATTTGAAAAATCCTTATCATGGAAATGTCATATCTACATATTGGAAAGTATGGAAAAGCATTATGTGATACAGTGACACAGCTGATTTTTAGTTAGGTTATGCAACAGGCAATTATTATCTCAAGTTCTTGGGGCTCTAATCTTCATGGTTATGGTATCTGCTGTTCTCATTCATGAGAGATTGTTTCTTTGTGTTCTATATATTTTTTTATTAGCCAATCTTTGTAAGTGTCCCACCCCCCCCATTAGAATTTTTTGTGACCTGGACTTTGAGAACACCAATCTCTGCACCTCCTCACTGCCCCAGTGGTTTGCAGTTATTCCTTGGGGTATCATTGGCCAGTTTTCATGTTAAATGCTCAGCTTTGTCTAAGACAAAAACAATGTAAATAAAGTAACGTAAATTTATATACCAAACCTATGTAGGATATAAGTCTAGGATTTTGACTTCTTAGAGGTAACTGTATCACAGACCCAGAATTAGAGAAGCCTTCATAGTACGGCATCTTCCTATACTATGAGCAGATTTCTTCTAGTCCGGGAGTTGGCAAACAATAATCGTGGGGCCTCCTGTGCTTTTGTGAATAAAATTTATTGAAATACAGCCATGCCCATCTGTTTAAATATTGCCTGTGGCTGCTTTTGTGGTACGAGGGCAGAATTGAGTAGTCGTGACGGAGACTTTATGGTCTGCAAAGCTAAAAATATTTTCCATTTGGCCCTTTGCAGGAAAACGTTGCTGACCCCTGCTTTAGCTTTTCATTTCAACTGAGAATGTTGCTTTCTTTGAGAGTCCAAGTTAAGGGTCTCTCAGTTCCTTATCTTGTAAAGGGCCAGCTTTCATTTTCCATCCCCACATGTGTTAAATCCAAGGTCCAAAGTTGTCGGGACCTATCCTCCCCCCTTCTACTCCATGTTCTGGATTTTATTTACCTCCTCACTTCTGGCATCTGAAGATGTCCACCCATTTTTTTCTCCTAAGGTCAATTATGCAAAAATAACTTCAATTATGTTTTATTCAGCATTTTCTACGTGTTCGTACAAGTATGCTTTTAGATTATTTTAGTTTGTCTACCATAATCAGCTCAGTTTGGTCTAAAGAGAAATTGGAAGGGTTTAGAAAAAAATGCAAACATGATTAAGAATGCAAACATTAAAAACTATGTTTGGATCGATAAACTCAAATTTTTTCTTATTTGTAGAAGACTAAAGGTTTACTTAGATTTAAACAATGCCATAAGGAAGATGATGAAAATATTGCAGTACATAGATTTAAAATGTAAGGACAGGAAGTTTATTCCAACATATAAGAGACAGAAATATTAAAAAATTATGATACAGGTTAGTAAAGAATGTTATAAAACGTCACACAAAAATATTTTGAAATAGAAATTTTATTTTTCTGCTGTACTTCTGCTGAGGCCAGGAGTTGTTTTATTTATCTATTTTCTGTTGTAGAATTATGTAATATTCCATATTTAGTGATGTAAGAAACGTATTCGTTTCACGATATATGTCTATCATAGACCTCTAAGCAAGCATGAAATATTTCTGTGCCTTGGGGGAATCTTTCTCAAGTGATGCTCCTTTGTTCTTAGCTGTGGTGTGCCAGAAGGGCATGTTGTACCATCACTGTTCCTCATTTTGCCGCCGTTCCTGCATTTCTCTCTCTTCCCCGGAGCTGTGTAATGATGACTGTGCCGAAGGTTGTAACTGTCCTGAAGGCAAATTCTATGAAGACACACTTAACTTTTGTGTGCCCATGTAAGTCACAGAAGTGGGTTGACAGCATCTGGTTTTTCTCTCTTTTTCTTTTTATCTGTTAAATGGGCTTTCATCCTTATTTTTAAAAGTATTTCTTATTGTCTTTACTTTTTTTTTGACCTTGTACATGTTCACAAATAGCTACAGAAAGAGCTAAGAAATCTGATGGTTGATCCTGAAATTTATTCCCACTTGCTTTTATCATTATTATCAATTCAATAATAAGGTTTATGTTTTACTGTGATGTGGCAAATTTTAGTAGCAGGATTGTAATGTCTGTTAGCAATCACATTTCTTAATTCTCACCTGACGTAAAGATTCTTACACATAGGGCTAAATGATATATCAGTCATGTTTCTCCGAAGTGCATTCAGTGACTTTTCTTGTGACTAAAACAACGTAGTTTGTGAGTTGAAGCTACACTTCACATCTAAACAGCTTCTTCCATTTGGATGTCAGGATTGCAGGCAGACTCATAGAATAACGCTGACCTTAAAGAGTGCCTTACAATGACCAATGCAGAGCATAGGGTCTGCTTGAATTTGAGTGATTTCTGGAAAAACTTATATCTTGCTTTATTTCCTTAATCTTTTTTTCCCTTATAGATTTCACTGCCGGTGTCATTATAGGGGGAGCGTTTATCAACCTGGGGAGCTCATTCCGACACCCTCGGGCTTATGGTAGGTTTTAATGATGGGGATTGTACTTGACAAATGACACATGTGCTAATGTCATTTCTTAACTAAAACTGTAAGTTGAAATATGACTTCTGAAATCTAAAAAATAAAGGTAACTTAACATAACCTTTAAATATGTAATAGTCATATATATGTATGTGTTACATATATACACCCTCATAGGTACATGATGCATGCATATATTACATTTCAATGTGGAACACCTGAGTTTTGTTCTCATGACTGTAGAAAAGTGTTATAAATTTGTGTCATACAATGAAATGGAAGCTTTTTCATTATTTTTGGTTCTTAGATAGAAGTCAGGGGTGAGGTTGGTGTTTAAATACTACAATATTACTGAGCAGTTTTAGTTTTGTGGTTCATCTATGGCCCCCTCCCAAAATTCGAAAATAGATCTGAACAATGTCCCACACAGAAGGTAATCATATCTTCTCCCCAGGGACATCGATACCAGTGAGATAACATTTATTCATAGGATAACATTCATTCTGGTTGTAACCTATCTGTTAGAAATACAGGTACATCTGTGCAGCAGTCCACATTTATTTACATTCAGTTCCTAACCTCCCTCTTTTTGTTGCACTGTAGGTACCCACAGATAATAATAGACAGTGGATAATAGTAATAACAATAATGATAACCAACCATTACTATGCACCTCCTATTGTCCTGGCACCTTTCTGTGTTTTATATATATTATTAAAATACTCATTACTACAACCCTAAGAGATAGGTACTACTGCTTTTTCCCAATTCACAGGTGAGGAAAATGAGGCACAGATGCTAAGCAACTTCATAATAAAGCTGGGATTTGATCCCAGGCAATCTGGCTCTTCAGTGCTTGCTCTCCTGCCTACGTTACTCTGCAGCTTATTTTGTATTCACAGCAGAATATTGTTTATGCTCAATTTACCTTTATCATTATCTCCATCTCCCTTCTTCCCGTGCCCCATCAAGACACAAAGGCAACCAGCTTTTGAGTCTTTCTCTGGTAGGTGGTACTAATAGCCACACAGTTCCCCAAACCAGAAATCTGAGAGTTATTTCTGACTCCTTCCTCCTGCTCGACACGCCTAGCCAATAAATCCCTGTCAACTTTGGATTTTACTTTCTACACGTGGTTGAAAGCCATGCTTTCCTGTCGATTGCCATTACCTGAACAATGTCTCTCACCCTCTCTTCCCTGGACCTTCCTAGCTGGTCTTCCTGCCTCTAGTCTTACCCTTCTTCCATTCTGCCAAGTTGTCATATCTTTTTAAAATTTGTTTACATAAACTTACCAAAAACAAATTAACCGTCCCTCCTCAGTGAGAAAAATAAAAATTCAATTAGTATACTGACCTCATCTGCCATTCCTTTTAAAAAGCCTATGTCTCAGAATGAGTATGATGAGGAAGACCTGGTTATGTGGTCGGAGACCTGCCTGTTTCAGTTCCTCTATGCCTTGCATAGTGTCAGCGAACTTAATCAGAGGTGATTCACTCAGTGGTTCACACCTCTGAGTGTCATTCTAGTGTTAAACAGCGTGCAACGTATTTTTCATGTGATATGTTCCTTATGTGTGAGTCAGCTTCTTCATCTGGCCTCACATATAGAACACATGATCTGGTCCAAAGCTGAAGGAAAAACTGTGTTGGTGTTATTGAGAACTGGTGTGTTTTTCTCTATCGTGTATCTTCTTGAGGGATTTTCAAAGCTGATTTTGCCTGTATGTGGTTCTTGCCTTATGCCCTGACTTTAGAACCTAAGTTGTGACTCCACTCTATCTTCAATGCTGCTGCCAGGAAGATTCAAACCCATCACATCACTTCTGTGTTTAAGGTCTTCAGTTGTTCATCTCAGGGATAAAATCTCAGCATCTAAATAGCTGGCCTCTGCCTCTTTTGCCATCGACATCTCCTGTCACTTCCTGCATTACACTTTGCTACATAGAATGCTGTTTTACCCCATCATGGTTTGTACCTGTTTCCAGTTTTATAGCCTTTTACCTTATCCATATCATAACCTCCATCCATTCTTCAAAATTGTTCAGACTTTACCTCCTTTGACTGCCTGAAGTCATTTGCCAACAGATTTTAAAACATTTTTGTTATACTTCTATCTCTTTAAACATTTCTATGTTTCATGGGTCATGCTGCATATGTTATTTTTTTGTACGTCTTCCTCTGCTACTAGAATATAAGCTCTTGGACAAAGACTGTAAGTTTCAGTCATTGTATCTCCCATGCCTATCACGATGCTCTGTACTTACGGGTATTTGATAAAAATGTGTTGAATTGAAATAACTCACTTCCAATTGGACCTAAGCCAATAACTTATTTATAAAAAATTCTGTGGGGAAAATAACATTTGTATATGTCAATTCTTGTATATTATATGGTTGAAATTCAGAAAAAAACTGAAGTTTGGTTTTATAAAGTAACTTTGTTTACTTCTAGCCAATGCTCGAATGGGACTGTGAAATGTGATGAATTAGCAACGCCCTCTACTGGTAAGATCTCAAAAGATGTTTTCCCTCGAGGAGACTATATTAATAGCTCGGATACTGCCCCCACTCTTCCAGCAGAAGTCATCCATCCTTCACAGCCCTCCTTGCCAATGGGCATAAATACAGCCTTGAAAATCTTTCTCAACACAGTGCTCCAGTGCTTCCTAACTTTTTCACATTGAAAATTATAGTATCTGTAGGGCAGTCTGGGGTGAAATATAAGGCTGCTCAGGGGCAGAGCTCATCGCCCCAGGGTTGCTGCCTGGATGCTGCCTACCCCAGGACCACCTTAGGTGCCCCAAGGGCTTTAGGGATATATATCCAGGCACCAGTTGTAACCCATTCGTGTAACGGAAATCGAGAAACTTCTCTAAATCAGCACGTCTCAGATTTTCATGTGCACACCTGGGGATCTTGTTAAAATAAAGATTCTGATTCAGTAGGTCAGGGGCAGTGCCTGAAATTCTGAATTTCTATGAATGGGCAAGGTGATGTCGATGCTGCTGATTCCTGGGCTACATTATGAGTAGCAAAACTATGGAACTTGTAGGAATCAATTAAAAATAGCATAAAAAATGACATCTACTGCCATCTCTCTTTAGAATGTCATTTTACATTTTAATATCTTTCCTAAGATCCTATGTGTTAGGACCCTATCTATTATTTATTTTTATCACATAAAGAGCCTGAAATTCTCAGTTACTATGGGGAAATTCTAGGCAAATAATAAAGAACACTTGCTTTCATTGATTTTAAGGGACATGAAGAGTGTAGGATGATAAAAGTAATTGTGAGCTATTGCTTTGTTATTTATTTGAATGGCCAGGTATATATTATTATAAATTAGCTTTCAATTATATGACCTGGATTTACTTTACAAGGATTCAGGCTAGTCTAGGGCTTCTTTGCCAGGTATTTTTATGAACCATGCATGTTCAGCAGCTATCAGGCCATTCCTGTTTTGCCCTATTTGCTTCAGGTCACTCATGGTTAGAGAAGCGAAACCCAGGTGGCTGGTCCTTTCACAGAGGATCCACAGGATTTGATCCATTTGGCCCCACATAAGAAAACTTCTTTGATCCCTGAGAGCCTAAAGCTTTCTGGAGGAATATGTAACCTTGCTCTGCCTATAATTATGTCCACTTCTGCACTTCTGCACTATAGTGAATACTGGTGTAAATATTGACACAGAGGTGAAGCAAGTTCTAGAAGTATCATGTGTTCATTGTGGCTTTGTAGAAGTTTAAATATACTGTATTTTCAGTCCTCAAAACTTGACAGTATATGTTTGGATTAATCAAAATATCTTGTTCTTGACCTCAGAAAATTATATCCTAATTAGTTATTGTCTTATGGAAGGCAGCTAAAGTTTTCAAACTCAAAATAGGTTTTGGAAGTTTTGGTGATTAAAGGGAATCTAGTTAGAAAATGTTTATAAGTTCATCAACTAAAAAAAATCACAGAGTAAGAGCATCTAATCATAACTGGTAAAACATTTTATGGCGAATTTTATTTTGATGACAAATGCGTGTCAATATGATTGCCTGTGGAGCTAATATAATGTTAAGAACATTTTGTGCTTTATCTCTGAAGTTCACGTCTGCCCAGAGGGAAAAGAATATTTCGACTGCAGGTTTCCTAACCCTGAATTACCAGCTGGTGGTATAAATTGTGAGACTACATGTGCAAACCTAGCCATGAACTTCACTTGTGCCCCATCCTCACCTTGTATAAGTGGCTGTGTTTGTGCTCCAGGGTAAGCTTCTTTTTCTTTATAATACGGAACATTCGGGATATGGCCAAAAGCATAAGATCTCTTAAAAACATTATTTACAGAAATAGCCAAAATTATTGTTCTGACTGGAGGTTAACTTTGGGTTGGTAGCTAGAAGACTATTGTAATTATTTTGCTAGGCTCATGTAACATTGTGAGATATTATTAAAGTAATACACTGAATTGAGGATAAAACTCATTTCTGGATGAACTTGGAATTCCTCCCCTAATTCAACTGCAATTTTGGGAAAGTGACACAATTAGTCACTTTTCATTCCAAAGACTTTTGAAGTACATGTCTTTTGTATATTCTGTTGTGCAGTTACTGTTGATGGTGTGAAGTTGTACTAGTGGTGCCAACTGTTTTGTCTTATAGATGTTACAGAAAATGGTGTACTGAGGCTACAAAGGGTAGCGGGTAAGAGTTGAAGCTCTGGCTTCACACACACCGGAGCTAAATCCTGGCTCTGCTGCTGTTAGCTGAGTGATTTTTTGGCAAGTTCCTTTTAAGCCTAAGTTAGGCATTGTGAGACGTGGTGTGTATGTACTCGATAAATATGAGTCACTATTTTATGGCAGCATAATCTACTCTTCATAAATTTTCTTCCGTTGCAGAAATGCCTACTACATGTGAAAGACTAACGCAGAATCCGGGGGCTATTGGCTTCCTCGTAGGCACACGTATTATCTGGTAATGAACAGAGGCAGTGCAGCGAGAGGGCCATCTGAGGCAAACAGGTCACCCATTCTTCCTCAATGAACATGTTCACACAAAGGGATTCTTGGGATCAGCTCATATAAACCATGAGCAAAGAAGAGAGAGGGCTTGTGGTTTATTTCCCAGGAGAATCGCATTTGTCTAAATGGCCCCCATCTGGAATAGGTTGACGAGCCAAGTAACTTGGGACTGGTATTAATCTCTTTAAAAAGAAAGGGCATAGGAGGCAGAGAAAAGAAGGTCACAAAAGAACAAGTGCCCATGCAGGGGAAAATAAAGCCAGGTAGAAATCAGGTCTTAGAGCAGGTAAGCAAGGAAGGCATTTTAGTAGAAAGGACAAGGGAAATAAAACCTTTATTATGATAAAATAATGAAAACCTGCAACATTGCTTGATTTATTTGATTTGATTATGATTCTTGGGGATGCAGGACTGATTAAAGCCATATCCTGATTTTATTTTATATACTGTACTTGATGTTATTATTTTAAAAAATATATCTATTTACTTTCATCTTTGATGTTTAGTTTGACAATTTATTTACTGGCCATTATAAGAACTTAAAGAAATTTTCTCCTACCTTCTCTGACTGTATCAAAATAAATGTAGTTGGATAGTTGGAATTGACTTAGAGGCCTCTGACTGATTTGGAAATAATTTATTACGAGAACTTTTTTTTTCCTTTTTTTTTTTTTTGGAGACAGAGTCTCACTCTGTTGCCCTGGCTAGAGTACAGTGGTGTCATCATAGCTTACAGCAACCTCAAACACCTGGGCTCAAGCAATCCTTCTGCCTCAGCTTCCCAGGTAGCTGGGACTACAGGTGGGCACCACCACACCCGGCTAACTTTTTTATTTTTTTATAGAGAAGGGATTTCGCTCTTGCTCAGGCTGGTCTCAAACTCCTGAGCTCAAGTGATACTCTCGTCTCTGCCTCCCAGAACACTAGGATTACAGGCATGAGCCACCATTCCTGGCTTACGAGAACATTTTATTACAAAGCTGTTTATGGTAACGTGATTTGCCTTACCCTCCTTGTGACCTTGTTTGGCTCATTTTGGCACAATAGCTTATCACTTGTTTTCATGGGGCTCCTGATAGTGCCAGCAGTTTATTGACTGTAAAAGGACCGCATAACCCTAATTTAGAAATCACTGTGGATTGAAGAAATAGAAAGTAGTGTAATGGAAAGAGTCTGATAGAAATCACTTGAAATAATGGCCCTCCTCAATAGCCGAAGTACCTCAGGGCAAGTTACTTAACCACTAGGAATCCCAAGTTTCTCTTTGTAAAATGGGTATAATAATATTTATTTCTTGGATTGTTGAGTATATGCAGCACACCAATTATATGCTAAGTGATCAGTAAATGTTTATTACTTATCCCTATGCCCAAACCTGCTTAAAGTATTTACAGGCATACTTCATTTTATAGAGCTTCACTTTATTGCACTTTGCAGATGTTGCATTTTTCACAAATTGAAGGTTTGTGGCAACTCTGCATCAATCCAGTCTATTGGCTTGATTTTTTTCCAACAGCATGTACTCACTTCTGTTTCTGTGTCACATTTTGGTGATCCTCACAATATTTCAAATTTTTTCATTATTATTATATTTGTTATAGTAATCTGTGAACAGTGATCTTTGGTATTACTACTGTAATTGTTTTGGGGTACCACAAACTGCACCCATGTAAAATGGAGAACTTAATAAATGGTGTGTGTGTTCTGACTGCCTCACCTACCACCTGCTCCCCTATCTCGCTCCCTCTCCTCGAGCTGCCCTATTTCCTGAGACACAACAATATTGCAATTAGGCAAATTAATAACCTTATAATGACCACTAAGTGTTCAAGTGAAAGGAAGAGTTCCACATCTCTCACTTTAAGTCAAAAGCTAGGAATGATTAAGCTTAGTCAGAAAGGTATGTCCAAAGCTGAGACAGGCCAAAAGGTAGGCTTCTTGCACTAAACAGTTAGCCAAGTTGTGAATGCAAAGGAAAAGTTCTTGAAGGAAATTAAAAGTGCTATTCCAGTGAACACACAAATGATAAGAAAGTGAAACAGCCGTACTGCTGATATGGAGAAAGTTTTAGTGATCTGGATAGAAGATCAAATCAGCCACAATACTCCCTTAAACCAAAGCCTAAGCCGGAGCAAGTCTCTAACTCTCTTTAAGTCTATGAAGGCTGAGAGAGGTGAGGAAGCTGCAGAAAAAGAGTTTGAAGCTAGCAGAGGTTTGTACATGGTTTGAGGAAAAAAGACAGCTCTATAGAAGACATCTCCATAGCATAGAAGTACAAGATGAAGCAGCAAGTACTAATGGAGAAGCTGCAGCAAGTTATCCACAAGATCTAGCAAAGATAATTGATGAAGGTGGCTACATCAAACAACGGATTTTTCAGTGTAGATGAGATATCCTTATATTGAAATAAGATACCATCTAGGACTTTCATAGCTAGAGAGGAGGTCAATGCTTGGCTTTACAGTTTCAAAGGATAGGCTGACTCTCTTTTTGTTAGGGGTTAATGCAGCTGGTGACTTTAAGTTGAAGCCAGTACTCATTTTCTATTCCAAAAATCCTAGGGAACTTAAGAACGGTGCTGAATCTACTCTGCCTGTGCTCTATAAGTGGAACGACAAAGCCTGGAAGACAGCATTTCTTTTTACAGCATGGTTTACCGACGATTTTAAACCCACTGTTGAGACCTACTGCTTAGAAAAAAAGATTGCATTCAAAATATTACTGTTCATTGACAATGCACCTGGTCACCCAAGACCTCTGATGGAGATGTACCAGGAGATAAATGTTTTCTTGCTAACACAACATGCATTGTGCAGCCCATGGATCAAGGAGTCATTTCAACTTTCAAGTCTTCTTATTTAAGAAATATATTTTGTAAAGCTATAGGTGCCACAGATAGTGATTCCTCTGATGGATCTGGGCAAAGTAAAAGTAAAAACTTTCTGGAAAGGATTCACCATTCTAGATGCCATTAAAAACATTTGTGATTCATGAGAGGAAATTAAAATATCAATAGTCACAGGAGTTTGGAAGAAGTTGATTCAACCTTCCTGGGTGCCTTTGAGGGGTTCGAGGCTTCAGTGGAGGAACTAACTGCAGATGCGGTGGAAACTGCAAGAGAACTAGAATTGGAAGTGGAGGCTGAAGATGTGACTGAATTGTTTCAGTTTCATGATAAAACTTGAAAGGATGAGGAGTTGCTTCTTATGGATGAGCAAAGAAAGTGGTTTCTTGAGATAGAATTTACTCCTAGCGCAGATACTATGAACATTGTTGAAATGACAACAATGATTTAGAATATTACATAAACTTAGCTGATAAAGTAGCTGTAGGGTTTGAGAGGTTTGTCTCCAATTTTGAAAGAACTTTCACTGTGAGCAAAATGCTATCAAACAGCATTGCATGCTACAAAGAAATCTCTTGTGAAAGGAAGAGTCAATCGATGCAGCAAACTTCATTGTCTTATTTTATGACATTGCCACAGCCACCCCAACCTTCAGCAACCATCATCCTGGTCTATTAGCAGCCATCAATATTGAGGAAAGACCCTCCTCCAGCAGAAAGATTAGGGTTCACTGAAGGCTCAGATGATTGTTAGCATTTTTAGTAATAAAGCATTTTTAAATTAAGATATGCACATTTTTAGACTTAATGCTATTGCACACTTAACAGACTACAACATAGTATAAACATAACTTTTATAGGTACTGTAAAAAAATTCAGGTGACTTGCTTTATTGGGATATTCACTTTATTGTGGTGGTCTGGAATCAAATCCGCAATATCTCTGAGATATGCCTGTAATTTACAGTGATTTATAACTCTCTTTTTCCTTCATCCAGTTTCGATTAGTTATAAAAAACTCATTAGCATTAAAAACCACTTAAAACCACTACTTTGGCTGGCTACATAGGGATTGTGGTTCATTTCAGCGAGGTATCCCTCACTTAAACAATTGGACAATCAAAGTTATGCAGCATCTTATGTTTAGGGTGTTATTTTAAGCTTCAGGGATGGGGGTACTAAAATACATATATAAGATAATAATAGAATCTACCTTAGGAGATTATCACCAGGATAAAATGAGTTACTGATATATTTAAAGTGGTTAGAATAGTCCCTGGGCCATAGTAAGTAGTCAACAATGTTAGTTTT